AGAGAGAGAGAGAGAGAGAGAGAGAGAGAGAGAGCCTTCGTTTCATCATGTGGAAGCTAATTCTGTTAACAACAGTGTGAGATCCTGAGCTGCCGGCGGTGGGGTTGGTGGCGGCTGCCAGAAGCTCAGCTGCACGTTCCCCTCACCCCGAGGAGGTGTCGGGAGTGTGGAGACAGACACCGGAAGGCAGTGCGAGGACAGCCATTCTCTCCCGGGCTATTTCTAGACACCAGGTTTGTTCTGTCATTAAGAGCTCAGTTGGGCCCTGGCCGGTTTGGCTCAGTGAATAGAGCATCGGCCTGTGGACTGAAGGGTCCTGGGTTCGACTGTGGCCAAGGGCACATGCCTGGATTGCGGGCTCAGTCCGGGGGGGCGTGCAGGAGGCAGCCGATCCATGATTCTCTCTCATCATTGATGTTTCTCTCTCTCCCTCCCCCTTCCTCTCTGAAATGAATAAAAAGATATTTTAAAAAAAGAACTAAGTGGAGACCAGAGTCTCTGGGGAGGACAGTCTTTCCGGGGAGCCCTCTTTGGGGTGGCCGTTGTCCCCGGCACGTTCCCGTTCAGCGAGGACCCCATTTCCTCCCCCGTCTCTGGACGCCCCGGGGGGAGGTCTCTGTCCACGGTGCTGCTCTCCGGTCTTCTCTGAATTCCCTGGGCCGCCTTTCCCCCACCACCCTCGCCTCCTCCGCCTCCTCCGCCTCCTCCAGGTCACCAGCGACTCGCATGTTCTAAACCCAAGGTCAAGTCGCCTTTGGCCCGCAGGTGGAAGGTGACAAATGGGGAACCCTCTCCTCCGGAATCTCTCCTGCGGAGCGGCAGCTCTGGCCGCCCTGCTGCCTCGTCCGCCCTCGGCCTCCTGGGCATGGCCCTTCTGCCGCGTCCCCCTGGCCGCGTGGTGCTGGTTCCGCGGGATCCGCCTCCCGCGGTGAGGGATGTAGGCAGGAAGGTGAACTGCACTGGGTTTGTTTCAGGTCTACATTCGACATGTCAATATGGGGCGTCCCCCCAAAGGCACCCACACACTTCGAATAATTACAAAGGCCGTGTTCATTAAAACATTTCATTTTCAAAACTGAGCTCTCGGCTGTTGCAGTGCATATACATTTTGGGGGGACAAACTGTGTATATAAAAATTGCATATATATCATATAATGTATCTCCGGCTCCAAGCTCTCCCCTGCATCGCAGACTCGTGTCCTCTGTGTGCGGGGCGGCTCCTACATGGACCGTAGGCCTCTGTGACCAACACTCAGCGTATGCTATTCCCCTCCCCAGATCTGTTTCTCCCTCCACCTTCCTCATTTCAGCTCATCACAGCTCCGTCGTTGTGCAAGCTCAGGCCCAAATCTCAAGGTAACCCTTGACCTTTCTCCTTCTCTCAAATGCATTGTTATCCTACTGCCTAGACCTCCAGACCGTATTCAGACCCCGATCAGGCCTCGCCCAGCTACCCCCTCGCCCACGCCCTGGCCTCTCACCTGGGGAAGTGGGACACCACCTCTGGCCTCCGGCTCTGCCCTGGCCTCTCCCCCTTGTCTGCTCTTCCCCAGAACTCGGAGGGAGTCAACCTGTTTTCTAATTCCCGCGCCAAGAATCCTGAGCCCGTCTGTAGCTAACGACCAGGGTCCAATCAGAGTGGAGGAATTCGGGGCCTGGGCCGGCAGTGGGTTAAGGCAGCCGGATCATTTTATCTGGAAAAGATCAGCGAGGTGGCGATCTTTTGTTATGGTTTTCATTAGGATTCTGCAGGGAAACATGAAAACAATTTACAATGTCAAAAGCAATTCCTCACGGCGATTTAGCACTCCCACCTCGTTCTCCGTCATCCGCTCCCAGAGGTGTTTCAGACCCCGGGCCGGTCACGTGTAGATGCCGCGTTTTGGAACATCAAGCCCCGTCCTCCTATTTAACCTCAGGGGGAGCACCAGCATTTCCCTTCTGTTTCACAAATAAGGAAATTGGGACCTAGGACCAAGTGGCTCGCTCAGAGCCCTGCTTTCAGCGGCGGAAATAAACCCCAAAGCTGGGTTTTTTCACCAGGTTTCTCGTCCTGGGCACAACTGGCATCTGGGGTGGGTAATTGTTCCTCGTGGGGCTGTCCTGTGCACCCAGGGTGTTTAGCCGCATGCCTGGCCTCCGCCCACGGCTGGCAGTCACACACTCTCCTCCCCCACGTTGTGACAGTGTCTCCAGTCATCACCAATGTCCCTTGGGGGACAAAACCGAGCCCCTGTTGCAGAACAGCTGGCCCTCGCCCACAATCTGTTTTTAAGCAAGGAAGGCCCAGATCCTACCCTCCCCCTCCCCCCAAACTTCAGCACTGAAGACACCACATCCTATATAGTAAAAGGGTAATACGCAACTTGACCCTAACAGCAGAATGACTGGGAAGGACTGGTCACTATGACACACTCTGAGGGGCAGACACTCAATGCAGGAGCTGCCCTCTGGTGGTCAGTGCGCTCCCACAGGGGGAGCTCTGCTCAGCCACAAGCTGATGGCTGCCAGCACAGCAGTGGTGGTGGGAGCCTCTCCCGCCTCCTCAGCAGCGCTAAGGATGTCCGACTGCAGCTTAGGCCTGCTCCCCGCTGGCAAGTGGACATCCCCTGAGGGCTCCCTGGCTGCCAGAGGGATGTCTGATTGCCAGCTTAGGCCCAATCCCCCGGGGAGCAGGCCTAAGCCAGGAGGTAGTTATCCCCCGAGGGCTCCCAGACTGCAAGGGGGCACAGGCCGGGCTGAGGGGACCCCCCCCCCCCGAGTGCACAAATTTTTGTGCACCGGGCCTCTAGTATCATATAATTTAAAATCCACATTTCATTGCAATGCATTAGAAGTAAGCGCCGGCTGATTACACGCCATTCACTAAATGTCAGGATTTGTTTGTTTAAGATATAGGCCATTCAATAAAGAAAGAGCCATTTACTCAATCAGGAGAGTGCTAAGTTGGAGTTTGTAAATTAGGACAGGCTAAGGTTCGGCCGGATTGCAGAACAAAGACAGCAGGATTTCGGTCAAGACCAAGCCCGTGGAGGGGAAGGGCCTTGCCCTCCGTGGCCCCTTGAATTATAATTATAAACATCTGCAAAGGGCCATGTGTCGCTGAGCTATATCTTTCACGACTGCACATGCGCACGTTCTGGAAGCCACGTCTCATGCTGTCTTTGAACCGTGCGTGTTCACATGTGGGGTGGTTGCATCCTAGCAATTATAGGGCGTCATCTGCACCCTTTTCAACTTGGAATCACAGCAGACACATTTGCCTATTGCTACACAATGTGCACAGCCATCATCTGAACGACCACATGCTAGTAATAGATATTCCGTGGGCTCGCACCGTGAGTCCGGCCCCTGCTGCCGTGGCTGCACGTGGCTTCTGAGGTCACACGGACCACGCTGCCACCACCACCTTTGAGATATTCCGTCCCGTTGCTTTTGGAGGCACCCGATCCATGATTCTCATCACTGATGTGTCTGTCTCTCTCTCCCTCTCCTTTCCTCTCTGAAGTCAATGAAAATATATTTTTAAAAGTTATGTGGGAACTTGATTAGTAAAAAGCCTAAGAACGGAGCCTCTGACCCGTCCTTAGATGCGGCCGTCAACGGGAAAGTGCTCAGGACGTCGGGCCATCGCCGGCCTCGGCCCCCCAGCCGCCCGGCCCGCTGCCCCATCCAGAAGCTACACGGCCACAGGCACACCACAGCCGTCAGGAACCAGAGTCCAAATAAATAGCTTTTAATTATGATACATTACTTATTACAGTACAAATTGGCATTTCCCCCTTCAAAAGCAGAAGCACCAGTCTTAGAAGGTACAGAATGAGTGGTATTTTCAGGGAAATAGAGCGTAATACTGTGTGCAAACAGGATTTTCGTAGAGAACAAGACCTTCTAGAAGTAAAGCCGTGTCGCACACTGAGCTCTGCTAGGGCGGCGATCACGTCATGCGGACGAAGAAAATAAAGACCCCCATGACGTTCGAAGTTCACTTCACAGGAAAGATGGCGAACTGCGGAGGGGGGACCTCCTCTTCGGCTTTTTAACGTGAAAAGTTAAAAAGCGTGACTAGCCCCGAACGGAGGGATTGCTCAGACAGATCTGACTCGTGTCTGTAGCGGTTTCTTTTCCCTTAGTCCCCGGGATTCTGTGAGAACTCAGGTGGGTGTTTTCTTTCAGAATGAAGGGGCTCGCCCGGGCCTCCCGCGTTAACTGAACACCTACTCTGTGCGAGGCTGTGTCGTAGGTGCCGCCGGGGACCCGGAGAAGAGAGACACGGCCCTGCCTTTGAGGAGCTCACAGTCTAGTGGGGGAAACGGACACGCTGACACGGACGTGAAACTTATAGAAATCATTAGACAACTTGAGAAACTCCTTTCGCGGTCGGACAAACTTTGGGTGTTAGGAATGGACGGTGAAAAGGGACGACGTCCAGTGCAGGGAAACCCCGGCGGCTTCCGTATCATGTGACTTCCGCGAAGGCGGTGATGTGGTTCTGCAACGAGAAAGGAATCGCAAGGTCAGGGTCTGGGCAAGACTGGCTTCGTCCAGTCCTCAGTGCTTCTGCAAACCATCACTAGCCTCGCAGACATCCACAGCCCGTAGGGGTTTAGGTTGCAAAAACACGGCATTATTAAGTTCTATGGACGGTGGCATAAAGTCAGCTGCTAATTAGATGTTGTAGTTAACATTCCTTTAAAATATATATATGTTTTTATTGATTTCAGAGAGGAAGGGAGAGAGAGAGATAGAAACATCAATGACGAGAGAGAGTCATTGATTGGCTGCCTCCTGCACGCCCCACACTGGGGATCGAGCCCACAACCCGGGCATGTGTCCTGCCCGGGAATCGAATTAACCATGACCTGGTTCATAGGTCGATGTTCAGCCACTGAGCACGCTGGCCGGGCCAACATTCTTTATTATGCTTTTTGTTTTTAATTTGAGAGAGAGAGGAAGGGAGAGGGAGAGAGAGAAACATCCATGGTGAGAGAGAGTCATTGATCGGCTGCCTCCTGCACGCCCTCTACGGGGGATGGAGCCCACAACCCGGGCATGTGCCCTGACCGGAAACCGAACTGATGACCTCCTGGTGCAAGGGGCGATGCTCAATCACTGAGCCACACCGGCCAGGGCTGTCTTCAAGATTCTTAATTAACCAAATAAGTGGAAATGCTGTACCTGCTCTCTTCAAAATGAACACTGACATGTGGAGAGAAATGGCAGAGCCGGACACATTACTATTCCGCTCCGTGCTGACGGGATGCTGCTCCCGGCAGACAGATGGCGCAGGCGAGGCGGGCACGTGCTGGCGGACAGAGACCTACTTACACGCCTCGTTTCTGCTGCGGGAGGCCAGGCCCCAGACGGCCCTGTCTGCCGTTTACCGCCACCGCCGAATCCTCCCCGCAGCCTTTGGCTTGTATTTATTTTTAATTTTTCCAAGCCCCAGAACTGGTACAAGGAAACCCTGTGGAACGACTAATATTTAAATGGATTCAGACGTGCAACAGGCCCTGGGTGGCTGCTGAAACATTGCAACACAAAACGGTTCTGACATAACTAATCAGGCCACCTCCAGGGGGCGTCTAGATCCAAGGTGAGTGACAGCCCGGGCACCAGCAGCCACAGGAAAACGAGTGTGACCCTCACATGGCCCATTTGGAATGCTGCTCAGAGTGGCTGCGTAGTGACTGTAAGTCACAGGCACTCAACAGGGAATCCTGTGTGATGGATGCACGCCAAGAGGTGCCTCCTGTGGGTGGAGCTTTTTTCAAATTCAAGTGTAAACCGTTTACTTACAACATTTTTTAAAAAGATGTGTGAAGAGCCCGGCCAGCGTGGCTCAGTGGCTGAGCGTTGACCTATGAACCAGGAGGTCAGGGTTCAATTCCTGGTCAGTGCACAGGCCCGGGTTTCGGGCTCCATCCCCAGGGTGGGGTGTGCAGGAGGCAGCCGATCAATAACTCTCTCTCATCATTGATACTTCTCTCTCTCCCTCTCTCTTCCTCTCTCTCTCAAATTAAAAACAAAAAGCATAATAAAGAATGTTGGCCCGGCCGGCGTGGCTCAGTGGCTGAACATTGACCTATGAACCAGGTCATGGTTAGCTTGATTCCCTGTCAGGGCACATGCCAGGGTTGCGGGCTCGATCCCCAGTGTGGATTGTGCAGGAGGCAGCCGACCCGTGATTCTCTCTCATCATTGATGTTTCTGTCTCTCTCTCCCTCTCCCTTCCTCTGTGAAATCAATAAAAATGTATTTTAAAAAGTGTGTGTGAAGAAGTGGAAATCCCTTTCCACTGGCTGTGGGCCTGTCCAGTCACAACGAGGAGGCTATGCCGACGGCTGCCCAGGGTGATTCCCCGGGTTGGACTCTGGAAAAAAACAGTCCGTGAAAACCAGCCGCCAGCCCGCATGTCCCTCCAGACAGAGCCGTGGGAACACGGTGTCCCGTGAGGAAGGCCTGATGGGAACGCGGGGACTCCGCGGCCTCTCTCTGCGTGTCCCCGTGTTTCCTCTACAAAAGCGCGGGCTGACGCGAGGACACGAGACCTGGCCCCGGTGTCTACGGCAGGAGGATGGAACGAAGCCCCGCGCAGGGCAGACAGTCCGTCACAGGCTCACTCCGCCGGCCTCAGAGGCCCCGGCCCCCGTGAGCCGAGACCGGGCATCGGATACGGGGCTTCAGGACGAAGCTGACCGGGCATCACCATCCGGGCAGGACCCCGCCGACAGGACCTGCTGGAAAGGGGTTAAGAAATAAACTGGAGATCCATCCATCTGCCGTAAGGTGGGAGGTGAAGGGCGAGGCAGGGGCAGTTAAAAAGGAAGGAAAGGAGTTAGAAACAGAAGATAAGAAAGGACATGGACGGCACTCGGAAAGCCTGGGTGTCCTGTCCCCTGGGCCGAGGTCTGAAGGGCCTGCGAGGCTCATCACATTTGCCGAAGGCGATCCTGAGTGCAGGGGACAGCCATGACCTGGGAAGGAGGAACGGAAATAGGAAAGGAGCGCAAAGAGGCAGGAAAAGTATCGGAAACGCAGGGCAGGGCGGGTGCAGAGGCGAAGGCAAGGAAGCAGCAATGCGCTCTGGCTGGTGTGGCTCAGTGGAGAGAGCATCTGCCCGTGGACGGCAGGGTCCCAGGTTCCATTCCGGTCGAAGGCCTGGACCTCAGTTGCAGGCTCCATCCCTGATCCTGAGGCGCATGCAGGAGGCAACCAGCGGATGTGTCTCTCTCACATCGATGTTTCTCTCTCTGTGTGTCTCTCCCTTTCCCTTCCACGCTCTCTAAAAATCAATGGAAAAGTATCCTCGGGTGAGGATGAACAACGACCACAAAGAATGTGCACTGTGACCGTGTACATGATCATCTGAACCCGGACCCGCTTGGGGGGAAGTGGATGCTAATAACACAGAGACAACAGGCCTCAGGGAGACCGTCCCAGACAGGGACATGACGTCACCGGAGAAACAAGGCCTTGAACGTGTAACTGAGCTCTGGAGTGCTGAGCTCAGCCTGGCCTTTAAAATCATGTTTCAGGCCCTAGCTGGTGTGGCTCAGTGGGTAGCGCGTCGGCCTGTGGACTGAAAGGTCCCGGGTTCGATTCCGGTCAAGGGCACATGCCCGGGTTGTGGGCTCGATCCCCAGTAAGGGGACGTGCGGGAGGCAGCCAATCAATGACTCCCTCTCATCATTAATGTTTCTCTCTCTCTCCCTCTCCCTTCTTCTCCCTTCCTCTCTGAAATTGATAGAAAATATATTAACAAAATGATAAAATAAAACCATGTTTCGGTGACCGCTCGAGCTTCCTCTCGCTGAAACAAGCCCCGTGCTTCTGCTGAGTCATTACCAGGTTAAACTGCAGGCCACTGACTACATTTTCAGGCCCAGGGCCCTGGGAAAACGCCTGCTTTTTTGCAAACAGCACTATTTCCTTTTCACATCACACTTAGGTGCTTTTATTGTTGTTGTTTTTATTTTATTTTTTAGAGAAAGAGGAAGGGAGAGGGAGAAAAAAACAATGATGCGAGAGAGAAACATCGATCGGCGGCCTCCTGCACGCCCCCTACTGGGGGTCGAGCCTGCAACCTGGGCAGGTGCCCTGACGGGAGTGGAACTGGTGACCTTTCGGTGCCTGGGACGATGTCCAACCCACTGAGCCACACCGGCCAGGGCCACACTTAAGCTTTAGCCTCCGGGATGAGAGGGATCCTGCTCCCGGGCGTCTCTGTTAAAGGTGGCCGTTCGCAGAGATAAGCAGATGAAAACACAATATGGGGGGTGACAGTGCCAGGGAAGAGCCATTAGGGGGAAATGGAATCACGCGTTCTAAGTACATGGCAGGGATGTGCAGATCGCACGGGGCCATCTGTCCATGAATCTCACCATCCAGCGCCAACGCAGCCCCCACGGCATGCAGGGGGTGGGCTGTTTATCTCAGTCGGCTTTACAGAATGAGATGATTCCCCTCTGGCCGGGGGCGGCTCTCCCTGACGGGATCGGAGGAGGGACAAGCCACTGACTCCCATCCTCCTGGTCCATGAGGCCATGACTGCCGCACAGCCGTCACATCGGCGAGGAGCGCAGGCGCCTGCCCTGACCGGCCCCGACAGAGGCCTCGCTCCCGGGCAGGCAGGGGCGCGCCCGCCGGTCCCCACCAGCACCTTCTCGGTAACAAGAGACAGAACTGCATGTGACGCTCCCAGGTCGCCCGTGTCAGGAACGGGCTCCCGGGCACACAGGGTGCCGAGGGGTCTCTCCTTCTAACCCGGCTGAACCCGTATTTTGCAACCGTCGATCTTATTAGTAGAGAACAGTGCAAACACGCAGTGGGCCACGCAAACACTCATGCAGGGAAGCGTGTAGTTCAGAGCCACGAGAAGAAGTGGTCAGCGATGGGGTGTCCCCCCAAATGCACGCCCACTTTACGGCGGATAGCTCCATCGATGTTTCTCTTTTCAGATTGAATGCACTGGAATGAGAAAGTACTCCAAGTGTGCAGACATTTTTGGGGGGACACCCTGCGTATCACTCATCAGTTCGATGACTGCTTCTGCCCTCACACAGTCAGAGGCCTGGGGTGCAGGTGGCAGGCGGGAGCCAGAGCTGAAGACGGGAAAGCGCTGCCCCCTCAGAAAGCACCGCCCAAGTTCACAGCAAGTCCATGAGCCAAATACCGAACCCGGTCCCTGAGGGCAGAGCACAGGCAGGGCCAGCACCTGCCCCGAAAGCAGCCCCCAGAGCCTTCCGTGTGGCAAGTGCCGAGGGCTAGACAGCACGCCAACTTCTGAAGCTCTATGCTCTACGTGAAATCTGTATCTCAGCCCTGGCTGGGGTGGCTCAGTGGATAGAGCATCGGCCTGCGGACCAAAGGGTCCCGGGTTCGATTCCGGTCCAGGGCACATGCCCGGGTTGCCGGCTCGATACCCAGTAGGGGGCATGCAGGAGGCAGCCATTCAATGATTCTCTCTCATCATTGATGTTTCTCTCTCTCTCCCTTCCTCTCTGAAATCAATAAAAATATATTTTTAAAAGTAATCTGTATTTCACTCTTTGGTGAGTTCAGACAACACTGCCATTTACTGATGACACACACGTGGGGGTGACTTGCCACCAGACAAGGCATGCCACTGGCGGTTGTTTATCTGCCTTTGGAAAAATAGGGGAAAATTCGGGGGAAAAAAGAGCAATTTATGTAGGAAAACCATTCTAGCCCAGCCAGCGTGGCTCAGTGGTTGAGCATCGACCTATGAACCAGGAGGTCACGGTTTGATTCCCGGTCAGGGCCCAGGCCCAGGTTGCAGGCTCCATCCCCAGTGGGGGGCGTGCAGGAGGCAGTCGATCAATGATTCTCTCTCATCATTGATGTTTCTATCTCTCTCTCCCCTCCCTTCCTCTCTGAAATCAATCAATATATATATATATAAACACAAAACAAGAAGAGCCATTCTAGCAGGGGCTGTTGGGTGGAGGGATGCTAAGCTCCGCTCATGCGTGCAAACGCAGTGGGAAAATGAAGCCTACTTGGAAGGTAAACGAGAACAGAGACTGAGGCCCAGATCCCTTTGGGAGCCGTGGCCCTGCCCAGAGGGACGCGTTTTCTGTATTTGCCGGAGCTCTGCAGCTCAGCTCCAACCCCAGTGCGCTCGGCGCACCTACGTTTATTGCCTTAATCGGAGGTGTTCGCGGCGGCTCAGCCCCAGGACCCAGCCGAAGAGCCGAGCGAGACAGTCCTTCAGGGGCCGCCCCTGCGCCTGTTCTTCGCCGCCCTCGGCAGGTTGGCCTCGGGACACCTAGGAAAGGTACCACAGCCATTACTCAGTGCCTGTCGGTGTCGGCTCACTCAGCCGGACAGAGGCCGAGTCTGCCGCTCCTGGCTGCTTCCGTGTTAGGCCCAAGGCTGAGGTTAGATACGGCCCCAGGTTCCTGCCCTTCCAGAGGCTCAGAAGCAGCCTTGGCGTTGGAACGGGAGGCTGTCAGCCCGTCGGCGTAGGTTTGGGGCCTAAACAGAAGCCGGGATCTGTGTGTCAATGTCTCCCATTCAAGGACTCAGTCCTCAGCTCCCGCGTGAGGAAGCTGGGTGGCAGGTGGGCTTCAGCATGTTTGCATGTGGGCCCCTAACCACAGAGTGTTCACAAGCAACGCAGCCCCTCAGAGACCCGGCTCTCGCATCCGTGCAATGGGAAGAAGACCATTTACATGGTGGTTTTTTTTTTAATTAAGAGCAAATGAGATTATATATATACACACAAAGGTCCTGGTCTTCGCAAACATCTCATTATAGTCGTCAGTCAAAGCCACAGAAATAGCCTGACCAACATGGCTCAGTGGTTGAGCATCGATCTAGGAACCAGGAGGTTCCGGTTCGATTCCCCGTCCGGGCACATGCCCGGGTTGTGGGCTTGACTCTGGTGTTTCTATCTCTCTCTTCCTCTCTGAAATTGATTATATATATCTCCAAAGAAATAAAATATTAGATAACAAATAGATAAAACCATGGAGATTTAAAAATTGGTTGGAATGTTACAATTCTGCAAGTTTACAGATCTAGTGGACACACTTTCACACCCAAGTATGTCTTATACGGCTGCTACAAACCCATCTGGGGGCAGAACGGAGCTGGGTGGATGGAAGGCCATGGGGACTGCCTGCCTGTCTGTCTGCTCAATGCCCATCGCTGCTTCCGGTCCTGCTCCTCACAGAACACACAGCGTTCGCCCCGAACTATAGAGCGTCTGAGTCCTGAGGAGCCTCTGGCCCCGAGGGTTTGGGATGAGGAGTTGCGGTCCCGCCATTAAATGAATGAGTTACCGCTGGGCCTTGACCTCGGGTCCCCGTTCCCTGGGGAAAGGAGCCCTGGCTGCTCATGGAACCACTGGGAGCTTTACCAAGACACGGACGCTTCTCCTGGGACTTGGACTTTATCGGTGTGAAGGCGGCCGGGGTGGTGGGATTCGCAAAGACTCTCCAGGCGGCTGTAACGCGCAGCCGATGTTCAGACCCACTGTCTCAGCTCTGCAGGCCCTGGGCCCTGGCAGCAGTTGGCTCTGGACCCAAATCACCGGTGCTGCCTGGTGCCAACCAGAACCCCCAGGCCCACTGGGTCAGGAACCGCTCAGCACCGTGGCAGCCGGACCGACAGGAAAGCGTCCCCTGGGAACCGTGCGTGCGGGACGCAAAAGGAAGCGAGAAGGGCGGGGAGCCTCCACGTGTCCCCTGGCGGGTGTGCACTGCCAGGTGCTTTCTTTCCTTCCCGCATCCTGGTGGTCCGCCTCCCCTGACTGATGGCTGCAGGGGCCCCGAGAACCCGAAGGTGCAGTCAGCAACCCGGTATGTATTCCCTCCAAAGAGATGAGAAAGATGGTTTGTGCTCAAAGCTAACGTACTGAAAAGACGCTTTCATAAAAGCCTGTTCGATAATGTTGGAAAAAACCTGGCTTTTCATGTTTTGCAGAGCGTGTTGTAACGTATAGACAGAGCGGAGAAATAAATACTGACCGGGGAGAGCGCACACAGGGAAAACGACACGGCAGACCACAGCCATGTGCGCGTCCTCCTAACCCGAGTGCTGACGCCCGTTGGGATGTTTAACTCCCCTTTTCAATGGACTCTTTAAAGCGAAATGAAATGAGACAGGTGAGAGCCGAGCCCAGCACGTGAGCCTTGATGGACTGCGAATACCTTTCGTCAGTGCTCGGAGCTCAGGCTGAGGAAAGCTGCCGAAAATACGAGGAGACTTAGCTCCACTAACCATTCCAACATCTGATCCCTAATAAAGCTGTTTTGACAAGCTCCTCTGGAACGTTTACGTACAGTCGGCAGCTCTGTAACACAAAGATTTGCATCCTAGAAAAGCAAACACATCTTACGTGGATTCCCACGTGTGTTCGTGCCAACCTGCTGAAACCTCAAAAGGACTGATCCCAGAGAGCAAAGTCATGGGTAATCATGTCTGTCTGGGCAAGAAACCAGAGGGTTGTTTTGCTGTTGCCATGACACTAATCTAGGCGGCATTTTCTGCTATAAGATTCCCTGCCATATGCTCTATGTATGGCATAGACAATCTGCATAAACCTTCAAGTCCGCCGAAACCGGTTTGGCTCAGTGGATAGAGCGTCGGCCTGCGGACTGAAAGGTCCCAGGTTCGATTCCGGTCAAGGGCATGCATCTGGGTTGCGGGCACATCCCCAGTGGGAGATGTGCAGGAGGCAGCTGATCGATGTTTCTCTCTCATCGATGTTTCTAACTATCTCTCTCCCTTCCTGTCTGTAAAAAAAAAACACAAAAAAAAACAAAAAAAAAAACCTTCAAGTCCACGAAATAGCTCTATGGGGTATCCTAGTCCGAAATACAACGAAAATCCTATTAAAGGAATCATTCGTTTTACAGGAGGGAGCTACCTTGATTTAAGCACCAACTGTGTGCCAAGAAGTTTATTTGTGATCTGTCATTTCAAACAATCTATATATATAAAAGGCTAATATGCAAAGTGTCCCCTCAGGAGTTCGATTGCTCGCTATGATGTGCGCTGACCACCGGGGGTGGCATGGAACGAAGGAAGGCCCTGGCCAGCAGCTGGAAGGCCCCGATCGGCCCTGATGGCTGTTCAGCCCTAGGGACCCTACCCACGCATGAATTTCGTGCACCCGGCCTCTAGTTACCCTATAAAGGAACCATAATCGTATCCATTCTTTTCAGGTAAGGAGAAAAGGAGGAATTCATCTGATTCTACTTAGTCATTTTGTAGCCAAGCCAACCTTCCAACCCAGGACTGCCGGCACCTGCAAAAGGCTGGCTCCCCACGCCCCACCCCCTCGCTCTGCCGAACCTTCAGCTCAGGTTTCACCTCGACCCCTGTGATGTTCTAACCTTCAAAACAGTCCATGCGTTTGCTTCTCTGGGTCAGTGCGAGTCCCCTCAGAATGTTCCTAGCCCTGTCATTCGCGCTTTCTCCAGCACAGCCATCCATCACTTGCCTCGCGGAGGCCCAGTGCCCAGTGTCCCCCCCCAGGAGCTCCACACAGCCCGAGCCCCCGCTTCTCAGCTGGCAGCTCGGTCCGGTCCGGACATTTGAGGTGGGACCTCCCTCCCAACAGGGCGTCGCCAGGGACTGAATCCTGGCTAAATGCCACTGAGACTCGGAGCCCCTTTCAGTAAACGGGAAGCGGCCGCGGTGACGCTGGGGACTGGTCACTCGTTCGCTCCAGGTAACGATCACATCTCAGAATTTAAATGTCGCGTCACCGGAACAGACTTACCTTTTCCAGCGGACTCTCCACCCGCGGGATGCTGATCATCGGCGCGTGCGCCAGGTCCGCCGCGCGGGCGTGCTCGCTCTCGGGCTGTCTTCCCCTGAAGTTACTCACCACGCACACGACCTGGCATTTCAGAAAAAAGCGCAGTTAAAGCCAAACCAGGCCCTCCTGACAATGACCCCTGAGTAGCTCCATAAACCTAATCCTAATAATAACGTATTAAAATTACTTGAATATTAAGTGTATATGACTTTGCACCAGACTTATCTTGTATAAATTTGAAATAGTTACTCTGGTGCGTGTGTGTTCAAGAAAATCTATCAATATTAGCTCAGGCCTGGGGTACCAGTCAGTGGTTGAGCGTCGACCTATGAACCAGGAGGTCACGGTTCGATTCCTGCTCAGGGCACAGGCCAGGTTGTGGGCTCCATCCCCAGTGTGGGGCGTGCGGGAGGCAGCCGATCGATGATTCTCTCTCATCATGGACGTTTCTATCTCTCTCTCTCTCCCTCTCCCTTCCTCTCTGAAATCAATAAAAATATATTTTTAAAAAATACGTGACTCAGTTAATCATGACAATTTTCTGATTCCAAAATGTTCATTAAATTAGTTAACACTCCATGCGCAAATGAATCCAAAAATAACATCGTAACCTAATAAAAATGCATAGCGAGCTGACCTTTCCCAGCGTGGCTAACCTACAACTTAATTTAAATGCTAATTACGTCCCCTTGCTTCAAGGTCAGAGAGCACTCCTCAGAAAACTCCTTACATGGCCCGCCCTTCCGCAGCGGCCTCTCAGGGAGCCAGGCTGTTGTCTCTGATCGTGTCCCGCGTGTTCTCGGTATTTCCGCAGCAGCTCCGGGGCTGCTCCTGAGCTAGACCTTTATCCCCCCCCCGAGGGGAGCTGGTCCTGTGCGGGGGGGGGGGGGGGTAGAGACGACAGGGCCTCGAGCTGAGGGTCAGGCTTCGGGCTCTGGCTGGCCTGGGTGATGTCCTGGGATCTCTGGGAGATGCCTTTTGTCTTGTTTTGTTTTGTTCCCTGTGAACCGGCTTCCACTGTGGAGAGTGAAGCCGGACCCCAGCTTCCACGAGGCTGCTGGGTCTCTGAGGGGCAGGAGGGATCCGTCTCCCCAGGGCTGGGGAGTCAGAGGGATGACATGGGAGGAAAAGCGGCACAGGGTGCACGCCGGGGACAGGGCCACGGCCACCCCTTCACACAGGGCGTCCCAGAGGGCGGCTTCTGTAACGTGCCTGGCACATCCGTCTGCTGGGCTCAGGCAGCCGGGCCGGCTCGCACGCGGCTGGTGCCCAGGCGGGGTGTTCCCTGGCGAAGGCGGGAGGGCGCAGAGGTGACCCTGAGGGGCAAGTGAAAGGAAACCGGACGGGAAGGAAAGGGCATCTTACAGGGCGTCGCCTCGGAAACAGGTTGTGATTGACAGTCGGCCCAGCTTTCCCTCTGGGCGAAACATCAGCTACTCCGACTTCCGATGACCAGTCAGTCCCGAAGCCGGAAGCCGGCAAGTCCATTCCCAAAGTCCATTCCCAACAGCCGGAAGCCACGAAGCGCTCCAGGGAGATCCCCAATGAGGAGCGATGCTCAGGCCGTGGCCAGGCCCCGCGGGTGCTCTCCAGCCCCCCCCCCAAAGCTGCTGGGGGGCACCTGGCCTTGGACACATGGGGTGTTGGTCACTGGAGGGACCCAGGCCCTGTCACCAGGGAGGGTCACCGGGTGGGGAGACTGTGGCTGTGACAGGTGCCCGTGGAGGCTGCTACGCTGAGGCACAGGGGCACCTACCCTAGTGGCAGGCTCCATCCCCGGCCCTGGTCGGGGCGCGTGAGGGAGGCAACCCGTCGATGTGTCCCTCTCACATCGATGTTTCTCTCTGTCTCTCCCTCTCCCTCCACTCTCTCTAAAAAAATCAATGGGCCCTAACTGGCTTGGCTCAGTGGATAGAGCATTGGCCTGTGGACTCAAGGGTCCCAGGTTCGATTCCAGCCAAGGGCATGTACCTTGGCTGTGGGCACATACCCAGTAGGGAATGTGCAGGAGGCAGCTAATCGACGTTTCTCTCTCATCGATGTTTCTAACTCTCTATCCCTCTCCATTGCTCTCTGTAAAAAATCAATAAGATATATTTTTTGCCCTAACAGTTTGGCTCAGTGGATAGAGCATCAGCCTGCGGACTCAAGGGTCCCAGGTCCGATTCCGGCCAAGGGCACATGCCCAGGTTGCGGGCTGGATCCCCAGTAGGGGGCATGCAGGAGGCAGCCAATCAATGATTCTCTCTCATCATTGATGTTTCTATCTCTCTCTCCCTCTTCCTCTCTAAAATCAATAAAGAAATATATTTTAAAAAAATAATCAATAATCAATGGGAAAACACCCTCAAGGGAGGATTAACAACAATCAGACAAACCCCCGCGCTCTCTCGGTGACTCTGCACCTATCCGCACTCACCAGGAACACGGCGATCGACGTCCCCACCAGGAAGCCCGCGATCACGTCCGACCAGTGGTTCCGGTGCTCGGCGACTCTGTTGAGGCCGGTGAGGAAGGCGGAGCACAGGAGGCCCAGGCACAGGACGGGCTTCGCGAGGCGCGTGCCCTTGGCTTTGACGGTGCTGGTGATGTACATCTGAAACACAACGAGACCGTCCGCGCACGCCTCACACGCGTGTACGTGCACGCATGTTTACGGACGAGCACACGCCTACGGGCTCAACACTTCACGACGCTTCAGTAATCTTTTGAAGGATGTTTCTTAAAAAAGTAGAATTTAAGGGCAGTGGTTATTTAGTTTTACTCGCCCGCAATCTACTACCAGCTAATTCTTCTGTAATACATCCATCGTTTAGGAGCCCCGAGCTCAGCCATGCCAGTGACCTGTGTCTAAGCATTCAAGGCTCCTGTTTTATCTGAATTTACATTTTAGATCAATATTGTTAGCAGGGGAACACTGAGGAAGACGTGTTCTTTTTTATTTTCATTTTATTTGAGAGAGAGAGAAACATCGATGTGAGAGAAACAAATAAAATCAAAATTTGTGAATATAGTCATAAAAAAGTAAAATGGAGCAAATTTTTACTACGTAGTTAGTACTTTAAAGAAGGAATTTAAGGTTCAACGCAGTGCCAATATTTGTTTTATGTTGCTATCTGAAATTGTGAAATGACTTTAAATTTTATTGGCCACAATTAGGACAACATAGGAACTTAAATACAAACAGGAAATGTCAGCTAAAAACAAAACAAAACAATGAGCAGGTGTGTACACCTTTGGTGTGTTCATGTATGCAAAACAATGGGCAGGTGTGTACATCTCTGGTATGTTACATATGCAAGAAGAACGTGTCAGCTGACTGTAGTGAGTGGCATGTCCTCCAGAGGCCAACACGACTCTCAGGAAAAACTCGGTCCTTCCCCTAATCGGATGGATTCTGTAGCGCAAGTGCTCTTCCTTTAACTCGTGTTACTATGGAAACCAATCCGCTGACTGCAAGGGGAGGGGTCAGTTATTATTCAAGTCATGGTGAGGGGATTATAAAAGAGGTGCTCTGACATTTCAATATGTTTTTAGGGTGTTGATGTCAGTAGTGGCTGATACTGATCATACAGACTCAGAAACACACTTGCCTATGGTCCTGAGTTGCATAAAAAACACATTTGCCGGTCCTGGCCGGTGGCTCAGTTGGTTAGAGCATCATCCCGATATGTCAAGGTTGCGGGTTCGATGCCCGGTCAGGCCACATACAAGAATCAACCGATGAGTGCATAGATAAGTGAAACAACAAATCAGTATTCCTCTCTCTTTCCCTCTCTAAAAATAAAAACATTTTCCTAAGAGAGGAAACGAAAGTCAATGCTTAACTTTTCCGTTCCTAGCAGCCATTTTAGAAGGCTGTGAAATTCAGCAATTATCTTCTCTCTTATTGTTGGTTGTGTTTTTGTTTTTTGTTTTTTCCTGGGCAACGTTCGCAGCCCTGTTGGCTGCCAGAAGAGGCTGTCTGAATATTAACAGAAAGCTTCTATCTCGCCCAGCTATCCCAGGTACCAATCCTCCAGGGGAAAAATAAAGGCTGATGGTCTGCATCTGGGCCTGTGACCTCTGAGGGCAGGTCCGCACTCTAAGCCAGCCCCGGGGAGAGCTGAGTCATTCCTGGGGGTGAGGGCACGGGAGGGGGCACAGGAGGAGGCGAGAAGGAGAAGACCCCGCTGTCATCCTGAGAGGAAGCCTTAGAGCTCTGCCCACAGGAATAGCGAGGCGAGGGCATCGCCACCTCGGTCTCTGATGCATCTAATGCCGCAGCTCCCTGCTGGGCTCGCTGGAGGGAGATCGGGCTGCTTGTGGGAGTTTCTTTAAGACAGTGGTGAGGCTGACCAGTGAATTTTTACAGAGAGAGGGAGGGGGAGAGAGAGAAAAACATCGATGATGAGAGAGAAACAACCACCATCTGCCTCCTGCACGCCCCCCGCTGGGGGGCTGGAAGCCAGAGCATGTGCCCAGACGGGAATGGAACCGGGGACCACCTGGGGCCCGGGACCCGTTCAGCCAACAGAGCCAGGCTAACGAGTTCTTATTTTGCATTTCTTCACATCTGTCCGAACTCTAAACGCAAGAGGAAAATTCGGGATTTTTCCCTTACACTGGGCAGCTCTTTGGTGCTTCCTGGGCGCCGATTAGCGGGTCTAATGCTGTTATCTGTAGAGAACGCCTGTTTAACCCTAACGAACAGAAGAGGAAATTACGGCATAGGAATGGAGTAAGTGAGTTGGACACGGGACAGGAATTGATTATTTATGCTCTCTTGGCTTTTAATTCACTTACGAAACCGTCTAGGTTAACCAGATGTCAGAATGTAGCTAAAACAAAACCCAAACAGAAGGGCCCAGAAATGCTGCACGTTTAGAAAACTTTGTAAAGAAAAGGGATGCACAATGTCTCATTGATATTTTTATGCTGATGTATGTCGGCCGAGATAGTAATCTTTTGGATATGACCTGTCAAAGTAAATTCTTAAAATTAGTTTTGACTTTTCAAAGCATTTTTTAATGTGACTGCTAGGAAATTAAAAACCACAAATGCGGTCCGTTTTAGGCTTCTATTGGATCATGAACTTCCTAATTCTGTTGGACAATGCTGACCTAGCCAAGAGCCCTCTCACTTAGAGGAAATGAAAACTATATCTGTTAATACTCAAAAAGCATTGGGCCAGCTGGTCTACTTAGTACTATATTATTATTGAAACAATTTTTAGGACACTGGTGTTTTGTCAAACAATGCTTTTCTGTATCTTTTAAAAAAATATCTATCTGTTCTGTCTATTAAACATATTACTGATTCAACTAGCACAGAATGTTCATGGAGTGGTATCATGGAATTATTTCGAGTTTTCAGAGTTTATCACAGCCTGTTTTTTCATGTTCCGGTTATCGTAACAGCTGCCTTTTTCTATTTTACTTCATCAAAGTCAATCGATGGTTTGGGGGATTCTCTGTGGACCCCCTGTAGGTGCTGAGAGAGTCCACGCTTGGTCAGGGCAGGCCAGGAGGGAAAGCCCATTTTGGGAGCTTAGCAATCCGGTTCCCATGTCCCCCCACTGGTTAGTTCTGTGAGCTTAGACAAATTACTTCGCTTCTCCGAGTCTCGGTTCATATCATTTATAAGTGAATATGACAAGAACTGTTTGTATGAGCTCAGGAATCACACAAGGAGTGTAACTTTTTTTACTGTCACGTGGCACCATGAAGATCTTTGCTTCATGACTAGAGTAAACCTAAAGGTTTAAAATGATAGATTTGGAGTCTAGCGGGTCGCTCAGCGGTTAGAGGTTCAGCCTGAGGACTGAAGGGTCCCGGGTTTGATTCTGGTCAAGGGCATGGACCTCGGTTGCAGGCTCGATCCCAGCCCACCAGTCTGGGGCGTGTACGGGAGGCAACCAATCAATGTGTCTCTCACATCGATATTTCTCTCTGTCTCTCCCCCTCCCTTCCACTCTCTCTCAAAATCAATGGAAAAATATCCTTGGGTGAGGATTAACAACAACAAAATAATAAACTAAAATGGTATACTTGGATTGAAACTATCTATTTGCTGGAGGAGGAGTAAACCCAACTGCAGAACGTAAGATTAAAAATGAGGAGTCAAGGAATAAAATAAGGATTCACTGAAAGTCCAAGTACCATTAAAACCCAGCCGTCACGGCCATTTGTATGACTTTGGGTGTTTGAGCTCCTCCGCCACCTGGCTGACAGGGCGCTGGGCGGGAACGTCTGGGCTCCCACTTCTCAGCGGCCTTCCTAATGCGTCCTGTGTGACGTCCAGGTACAATCCACCCCCTTTCCTTTTCTTTTTTAATATATTTTTATTGATTTCAGAGAGAAGCGAGAGGGAGAGAGAGATAGAAACATCCATGTTGAGAGAGAATCACGGATCGGCTGCCTCCTGCACATCCCCACACTGTGGATCGACCCCACAACCTGGACAGGTGCCCTTGACCGGGAATCGAACCGTGACCTCCTGGTTCATAGGTTGATGCTCAACCACTGAGCCACGCTGGCCAGGCTGAAGTTCATTTTACTTTAATCAGGGAATAAACTTTACCCATTTTATATGAAAAGAGACACCACAAAGCTAAACTTAAATAGTATTCTAATGCCACTCACACTGAATTACAAATTTAATGATGGAGGGTTCAATAACCTTCAGAAAGTTTTCCCCTCCCGGGAAACCGACTGTATTTGCAGAAATAGGCATAGGGATTTTGTCCCCCTAAAAGTCTCAGGAAAGTAAAAGAGAATAAGCCTGCGATCCAATTATCCCCAAACCCTTCAGGAAAGCCAGGTGCTAAGGGAGAGACCCAGTTCCTTCATGTTATTTACTAAACCACAAGGAGAAACACCAGAACATCTCTGGTCCTTACCCACACGCTTCTTCCTCCCGAGGCGTGTGTGTGTGTGTGTGTGCGTGTGTGTGTGTGTGTGTGTGTGTGTGTGTGTGTGTGTGTGTGTGTGTTTACAGCGCCGCACCCCATGCAGCAGAGCCAGCGCTACCTAAGCGCAGGGCACGCCTGCTCCCGCCGCCATCACGGAATCTACTAACTCCCTGCTATTTACCTACTTATCAAACTCCTGGCAAGCGTTTTCTGAGACCGTAAATGCTTGAAACACCCCAATGTGTCTATTATAAAGTTCCCCCAAGCTGTCGCTAGGGACGCTGGGAAGAAATATATCTGCACGTAGGTTCAAATATAACAGCACAGCCGCCGGTAATGCCCACACTGGCAGCGGGAGTCGGACGGGGTTGCTATGGCAGCCTCCCACACGCCCATCGCTCAGGGTGGCGGGGACGAGAGAAGAGCCGTTAGCACAGAACAGCACCTATTGTTGAAAAGGCAGCGGTTCCCTTCAGTGTAATTACAGGCAGGAGCCCTGACCTGTGGACTCCACGCTATTTAAGGTTCCTGGGTGTTGGGGCTCCTAAATGCTTCTTCTCTGAAGGCATCTGCCCTCTGAACCCTGGGCCTCCGCCTTCAGGGAGGCTGGGACCGGCGGGGGCAGGAAGGAGGTCACCTGACCACCCCCCCGGGGGGCTCAGGGAGGTAGTGCTCCCCTCTCTGGAACATTCTGAAGCATCACTGAGGTGGGGACAGTGTGTGGCTTATCCTCATCTGTAACATGGGCATGATGATAGGACACGCTCAAGGAGCTGTTGTGAGAGCCCAGTGAGTTAGTACAGAGGACAGATTATTACGTAACTAATAATAATAAAGGAAGAATAGGTTGTAACGATGCCTACGTGAGGATCAGTAGTGCATAAATCAGCAACAGTGCAGCACGTGGTGCCTGGCACATAGTAAATGCTCAGTCAATGTCATGTTATCGTTACAAACACCCCCAGGAGAACATTCTAGAAAAGGAGAGCCCCTTTCCCCGCCCCACCAGAGACCATGAGGGCGTGAGTAAGCAGCTAGGAGGCCGGCCACCTCTCTTCACGGCGCTACTGCAGGTTCCTGGGGCCTGACCGCCCCAGGACACAGAATGTCCATCCAGCCCTATTACCACGAGACAAACACGGTCTCCAATAGCGATGCAAGCGGCTGTGTTTTCTAACACAATCCGCTCCCCACGCATAACCTCTGAGAGTCCACCGACTATTAATTCTACTCCCGGAACCAACAGCTCTGGTGAAACACACAGTAAGTGGCCACGGAAGCTGCCCCTGGGGCTCCTCGCTGGCGGGGAGGCGCCCCTCCTGCCCGGCGGGACCGGGGCGGGCCTGGCTGCGGTCAGACCCACACTTACCGTCAGGTACACGGCCGTGTAGCCGCTGAGCACCGCCTCCTTGGACGGGAAGGTCTTCCGGGCCCGGAGGACGAGCTCGGGGTCGCCCGTGCAGGCCTCCTCGCCGCTGATGAACTGCGTGAGCTGCTGGCAGCCCAGCGCCGTGTAGTTGGGGCCGGCACAGGGCCAGGAAGTGGGGCGCCAGGTTCCCCGTCACCACCTGCCCGGCGTTCACGAAGATATCCGTGGCGAACAGGCCGAACGTGTAGATGCCTGGAAGCAAGCGCAGCCCGTGAGCGCCCCGCCCCGGGGTTTGTGCCTCGGTTCCCCGGGAACCAACACGGGAAGATCCTAGGGACCATCACACAGGCATCCATCCCTCCCCGCACACGGCTCCCGCGTGCACCACCCCTTGCTTGCGCCCCGACCACCCCCCGATACTGGGAGGTGGGGGGGGCTGCACTGGCTCACAGCCCCCCTAGCCACCTCGGGCACATACGCCTGGCGGGCTTATCAGACAAGAAGACACCTTCTAGGCCTGTGGTTGGGCACTGCGATTTCTATAAATGGAGCCAGGGCTCCCAAGCGAGGCCTCAGCCTATCACCTCAGTGTTTGTTTGTCCCCATTTTGAAAATATTTTTTAAACATATTTTTATTGATTTCAGAGAGGAGGGGAGAGGGAGAGAGAGAGAGAGAGAAACATCAATGATGAGAGAGAATCATGGATCGGCTGCCTCCTACACACCCCACTCTGGGGATCGAGCCCACAACCCGGGCCTGAGACCTGACCGGGAATCGAACCATGACCTCCTGGTTCACACGTTCGACGCTCAACCACTGAGCCACACTGGGCGAAAATATTTTTTGTATTTTCTGACAGAAAGCAAAGCAAGTGGTCTCCCTTGGATGGTGCCCCTGAAACCCACTCAGCCTGATATTAACGCTGGTGGAGGGGCCAGTTAGCGGTCGAACCCCAGGCCATCCGTCTTCAGTTACATACCATGCAACACGCTGCTTTCGGAAACACATTTTTAAAGCCGCATAACAGCTAGGAACTTAGTCCTACCTTCTCTTTTATGAATTACATTTTAATTATCACAATTGGGGCAATTTAGTAAACAATAAAGCGATCAAAATGATAAGTTTTTCAATTATCTTCACAGGATTAAACTTTACTTTCTCTGGTATAATATAATATAAGGTATAATAGGTATAATATAAGTACATGGATTTTATTTTCTCTCCCTTGTCAGTTTACTCAAATACCAAAAACATTTTCTAAATGCAGTATCATTGGCCATTGTTGTCAAAATGTATCTTTTGCCCTGGCTGGGTGGGTCAGTTGGTTGGAGAGAGAGAGAGAGAGAGAGAGAGAGAGAGGAGAGAGAGTTAGGAAGAGAAAGAGCAACATTGATCCGTTGCTTCCCGTATGGACCCTCACCAGGATCGAACCGGCCAGTTTTTGCTGCATGACAAAGCTCCAACCCACCGAGCTGCCGGCCAGGGCACCAGGCTTATTTTTAAAACGGAATTAAAACAATTCAGTGAACACTTACCGAGAAATCGCACAGTCCTCCGCACCAGTGGGTTTATGTAGCAACAGTCTCCGGTTAAAATCGTTTTCTCCTGGTTTTCAAAATCCCTTGTGGCTAGTTGTAGGCAAAACACCGCGGTCTCTCCAACTATTATCTTTCGACAAAACAAAAGGTTAAAGAACATTAGACTCTCACCAACATAAAGCAGAAAATTTTATTTAAAAAGCAACAGAGGCGCTGCCCCGAGTAGCAACAATCTCAGTATTACACTGAGCATGGCGGCTCAACTCAGCCCTGTTATGATAACGGCGTCCCTGCGTGTATAACCCACATTTCTCTCAATCCAAGGGAGTCTGAAACGGGTAAGTTACGACTACGAGTGGACTATAACAGTTTTGTCTCATAAAAGACCATTAAAAATGCTGGGACTATCATAAGAACACCAGTCAGAAAGAATGCATGCACCCCTATGTCCATAGCAGCATTATTTACAGTAGCCAAGATCTGGAAATAGCCCAAGTGCCCATCAGCAGGTGAGTGGGTAAAAAAGCTGTGGTACATTTACACCACGGAATACTATGCAGCTGCAAAAAAGAAGGATCTCTTACCCTTTGGGACAGCATGGAGGGACCTGGAGAGTGTTATGCTGAGCGAAATAAGCCAGTCAGAGAAAGACAAGTGTCACATGACCTCACTCATATGTGGAATCTAATGAACAATATACACTGATGAACAGAGTGGCACGGGAAGCATGGGTACCTGGCACTGACTGGCCGGTGCCCGAGGGGAGGGGGCTGGGATGACTGGATAAAAAAGGCGAAGGGATTCGCTAAAGATCACACATGCACACCCCACGGACACGGACAATAGTGTGCTGAGGGCCAGGGGAGGGGGGAGCAGGTGGGCAAAGGAGGGGAGAAAGGGGGCACGTACAATAGTATCAACATTAAAATCCTATATGATAAAAGCCTCATATGCAAATTGTCCCCTCAATTGGGGGGGCGGGGCCGGCCAGCCAACCTCCGGCTTTCCTTCCTCCCCTCCCCCCGTCGGCCAGACCCCACCCATGCACGAATTCGTGCACCGGGCCTCTAGTTATTTAACAAAAATAAAATAAAATATACCCAGGACCTGGGCTTTCAGGAGGTGCTCACACATGCATGGTGTGTGACTGCATTCCATGTTTTTTACGTGATGTGTCTTGTTAAGTTTGATTCTGCCGTAGAGATAAGAGCGAGTCTCCAGAACCACAGAATCGGAATTCAAGTTCAGGCCTGTGTTGACCACAGCCTCTGCCCGAGCTGTGAGCTTGTCCTCGACTCCCAGGGTTAACCAGGTGAGCCCAGGTCCCCCCTGAGGCTTAGCCACAGCCCTGGCACCCACATTTCTAAGGGGGAGGGATGGGGCACAGAGCACTCACAGGGACCTCCGAGTCCTGATCCACCTGGTCTGAGAGAATCGAGGATGGAAAAGGGCCATGGTGACCCCTTGATTAAAATTTTTTTAAAAATTGATTTCAGAGAGGAGGGGAGAGGGAGAGAGAAGAGAGAAACATCAATGGTGAGAAGAGAATCATGGATTGGCTGCCTCCTGCACACCCCCTACTAGGGATCGAGCCCGTAATCCATGCATGTGTCCTTGACCAGAATCGAACCTGGGACCCTTCAGTCCACAGGCTGACGCTCTATCCACTGAGCCAAACCGGCCAGGGCTGATTGACTGATTTTAGGGAGAGAAGTGGGGAAAGAGAGAAACATCAATGGGAGAGAGAAACATCCATCAGCTACCTTCCCCACAGGCCCCAGTAGGGATCAAACCTGCGACCTAGGTACGTGTGCTGACCAGGAATCGAACCTGCCACCTTCAGGTACACGGGGTGAGCTCCACCAGCTGAGTCCCCAGCCAGGGCTGAGGTGTCCTCCCTGCCACACCCCTGCAGAACGGGACCATCTCCTGCAGCCCCATGCAGGCAGGTGGTCAGGAGTTACCCTCCAGGCCCAGGAGAGAGCGCGGGCGGAGCAGTGGCACCTGGCTGGGTGCTCAGCACACCTGTCCCTCCAGGCAGCGGGGGTGGGAAGTCCGGAGCCTGGAGGGGGGGTTGCGTCTTGGCTTTGCCTCAGACTCGCTGAATGACCTTAACCAAGGTCAGACCTTCTCTTTGCCTCGGCGTTATCCCCCGTCAAAGAGCGATGACAGAAACAACGCCACCTCGGCCCGCTGGAAGGACCCACGGAGTTAACTGCCATTGGGTCCTCAGAAGAGGGCAGCACAGAGCACACATTCAATGACCTTGAAGGCCCCGCCCAACTCAGAGTGAGGGAATGGGGCGCTGGGGATAGGATGTAGCTGAGAAGTCGGGTGCTGGGCACATGGTGCTCTGTACAGATTTGTAACTTGGAAACCCATACATGCAACCTATATGTTCAGTGTTGGCCAACATCACCCCAATAAAATCCTATATAATAAAAGGCTAATATGCAAATTGTCCCCTCCACCAGTAGTTCGACCAGGAGTTCAACCAGGGGGTGGGGCCAGCCAGCCAACTGCCTGGGGCCTCTCCCCCTGGGCCAGCCCCACCCCTGACCAGCCCCCCCGCTCCCCGATTCGGGGGTGGGGCCGGCCCTCCAACCACCCACGGCCCCTCCCCCCACTGGCCTGGCCCAATTAGCTCTGATCAGGGCAGGCCGACTAGACCCCACCGATGCACGAATTTGTGCAATGGGCCTCTAGTTAATAAATAAAAATAAAGGACATATCTCTGTAGAAAAAAAACAGAAGCTGAGATAGTGGGAAGTCCTGACACTAATCTTGTGTGTGTGTGTGTTGGGGGGGGGTGGTGAGAGTGGGGTGGGGGTGACATGTGGCTACAGAGAAAGGAAGCATGGTCCGTCCCACAACAAAGCCCGGATTTACAAGCGGGAGGCAATCCTTTTTCTTTCCTGTCACGATGAGAAGCTTGTGGAAACGATTTAAAAACTTCTCCCCTAATTAAAGTAAGTGCCGCTCATTAAACTTTACATGATTCTTCTTCCTTTGCCCAACCATGCACATAAATGTCGCGACCATAAGCTACGGGAAAGAGGAGTTAAAGGGCCCGTAAGGCCGACTCATCGTGCGTACGTGCAGCCTTTAATTTTAAGACGTAAGGTCACCTTCTCCGTGTTCATGAATCTACCGCAGGCCAGGGCCGCTCTCACGGACCCGCCATTCCTCGGAAGAGCCAGCTCGTAATTAATGAAAGCTCCGTCATTAATAGAAGTGTGCAGGCTGTTAGCTTGCGTTCCGGCTCCTCGACAACACTTGTTCGAATTAATTTCCCCAGGTCTTTATCAACAATAAAGAAGAAACGTGATCACATTTAAATGCTCCTTGGGACATTGAAATAATGGAGTTTTTAGAAATGAATCTTGAAGCACAAGCAATAATGAGATGCCCCCAAACTAGGTTCAGCAGGGTAAGTGCGGTGGGTTGGGTTTTTTTTTTTGTTTTGGGGTTTTTTTGTGGGTTTTTTGTTTGTTTGTTTTGCCGGGGGTGGGGAAGAAGGGGGAGGGGGAGTTCATTCCTGGTCCGAAAAATCAGCTAAAAGTTACAAGTTCTAACCCTTCTCGGAGATTCACGTGAGCACAAGACTCGGCATTTCCAGCTGCCCATGGAGGCATTATTGCACCGCCTCCATCTTAGGGATGAGCACTCGAGGGCGTGGAGAGACTGTATAACTGATCGAGGGTCCCTGGGCGAGTAAGGCCCAAGGCCAGGACTCCACTCCCCGCTGGTCGGTTCTGGCGTCCAGCTTGCCGTGAAGCTGTTTTGTTCTTCTGCTTTATTTTAGGAAGAAGCGTCCGGCGGCTAAAAGCTCTCCTGTGTGAACTTCCGCATGCAGGCGTGTCATTTCTCCCCAGTTAGCTTTCCTGTGACAACCTGTGAACTTGGCTGCCGACGTCACACTTGCTTGGTCTTAGGAGTCTATGTTCAGGGACGGTCCTGCGTATCTGGGCTTGTATCCCAGGAACGCTGGGGAGAGTAAAAAAAAGCCAAAGTCCTCCTCCTCCTTAGGAGAGAGCGGCCTGAGGAAGGACAGCCGGCAGCGCTATTTATGATAATTGGGGAGAGCAGCAGGGCTCTGCACAAATGATAGAGTAAAGCTGAGGCAGGCACTCCATAGAGTGACACCTCCTTCCCCTCCCCGGCTGTTAGGAAGAGGAGAGAGAACGTTTAAAGCAAAAGAAAAAGGGGGCCCAGCTGGCGAGGCTCAGTGGTTGAGCATCAACTTGTGAACCAGGAGGTCACGGTTGGACTCCCGGTCGGGGCACAGGCCCGGGCTGCAGGCTTGATCCCCCAGTAGGGGGCATGCAGGAGGCAGCCGGTCCATGATTCTCTCTCATCATTGATGTTTCTATCTATCTTCCTCCCTCTTCCTTCCTCTCTGAAATCAATAAAGATATATATTTTTAAAAAAGAAAACAAGGGTTCACTCACACAATGAGAGAGAAAGCTCTTATTCTGACAGGGACACGGGTGGGAAGTCAAAGGGCATTGAGGTGGGGTTCTGAGATGTCACCTGTGCCGCCGGCCATGGCCAGGGGAGGACATGGCCCGACCTTTCTGACGTGGGGCTAAGAAAGACCAACATTCTCGCCTCTAGTACCAGAGGGCCCGGCTTTCCCACGGACCGCCTGGGTGTCTTCTGGCCACGGCTTAAGAAGAATTCCCAGGGACCCCTGCCCAGCGCGGCAGCTCACCATGACCATCATGGAGCGGACAGTGATTTTATCTTTTTTCCCCCAGCTCCAAAGATCCACGCTGCTGTGTGCCTGAGATTTCTTCTGCACCAAAACATAAGGCTCCGCTGGACACCAGGCCGGGTGACGCCCGGTCCCTCCAAGGGCCCGGCCCGCCCTCAGGGAACATGCATTCTACTGACTAGATCTGCGATCTCGGCTCACACACTCTGTTCCTGACAACAGGCTTGCGAGGGGACAGCGCGGCCCAGGAAAGCAGAAACAGTGTCCCTGCGAGTTCAGACCACCCCGCCGCCGCCCCCCGAATCCTGCCCTGGGCCAGGTCCTCCCGGTTTCTCTCTGCTTTAAAGGGACCGCCACTGTCGTCTACGGCCATTCATTTTTCCTGGAGGAAAAAGAGGCCTAGACACGGGAAGGACTTCATTTTTAAGCGCGTTCCCGGGAGGAGTCCGCGCTGATGGCGGAGGACATCCCTCTGCCTTGCCCAGCCACGACACCTGCTGCCCCACGGAACCCCCTTAGGAGCGGTCAGCGTATTGAGAGGTGTCACCTCTCAGCTGGTCCCGGGCGCGTCGCTAGGATGGCCGTGGCAGCGCCAAGCCTTGTGGTACCTGGCGGTGTCCAGGAGGGCTCAGACGCGGTCTCCCTCGGCTCTGTCCTTCCTGTTTCCTCCAGAAACAAAGCGAGTCTTTCTGCTCCTGCTGTTCCGTGTGAGCAGAGCTGGCCCCGGGGTGCTGGGCCCTGGGGTCCCTCGCTGGGCCCTGGGGTCCCTCGCTGGGCCCACCTGGTACAGACCCGGGGCAGCACCTGGGGGCGGAGTCCAGCGCTACCTGCAGCTCCCAGTGCCCGGCTCCCACCTCTGACTCTCCCACGGGGACCTGGCTGGGCCCGACCAGGCGCCGGGCGGGCGGGAGGCAAGTCCTCTCTCGGGCAGGAGTGACGAGGGCCCCCGGGGAGCAGTCCCTCTTTGCAAGCTCCCCGGATAATCACAACCGTCTCACCTCTGGTTCATTACATTTCACAATGGGCAGATGTTTAAAAGATATTGACTTCAGAGAGGAAGGGGAGATAGAAACATCAATGATGTGAGAGAATCATGGATGGGCTGCCTCTTGCACGCCCCCTACTGGGGATCGAGCCTGCAACCGGGGCATGTGCCCGGACCGGGAATGGGACCCAGGACCTCTTGGTCCACGGAGCCGCCACAGCCTGGCTGGGCAGGTACCTTGAGAATCCTGCCATTGGGTAGCAAAAGGCAAGTTTGTTATAGATCATTGAGACCCTGCGAGCACCGAGTCCCGTGGGCGGATGACTCAGTGGTCCAGGCGTGGGTGCCTCCAGGGCTGCACACTTGGAAAAAGACTTCCCTTCCGCAGCAGCAGCCACAATCCCGCCTAACGAGCAGGTCTGCGCACGGCGTGCTGGCCCAGCTTTCGACGTCCGTTAAACCTCAATCACGCTTCCTTTCAAAGTCTTCATTACCATCTCCCAGGCGAACGTAAGCAAATAGCGCTGCCGGGGACCTGCCGCTGCGTGCAGCACCGAGCGTTTTAAAGGGCTCGTGAACACCAGCATCTATAATTCACGATGAAGTCAGAATATTCAAGTGAACTGAAAAGCTTCACGTCCTGAAATGAGACGAAGACCCTGCTTCGTAAACACCGACTCAGCCCCAACGTACAGGCAGCAGGTTTGCCGAATCCACGCTGGCTGTCGCTCTTCCCCACGGAGCCCTGGTTTCCTTCAGCTACAACCTTCTCTCCGCCGTGACCTTCGGGGGGCGGGGCCGGCCTTGGCCTCGAGGGACGGAAGATGCGTCCAGTCCCGAGGGCCCCGCCCATGGCAGCTGTGGGCCTGGGTGGTGTGTTTCCACCTGAGGAAGAAGGGGGAGGCTTCTGCCAGGGGTGGGTGCTCTGACAAAGGGACTCACAGCCCGCCGGTGTGGCTCCGTGGTTGAGCCTCGGCCTGTGAACCCGGAGGTCACGGTTGGACTCCCGCTCAGAGCACATGAAGAGTCACTGCCCAGCTGGCAGTGTCTCAGACCCCATTCTCTTACTGGGCTACAGGTTTTCCCAACACCCAGCAGCTCCCGGACCCCTGAGCTGTGTTCTGCCCAATCCCGGGCTCCGCCTCGCCGACCCAGACCTCCCCCCGCAGAGCACCTGCCCCGGGGACCCGCCCGGCACAGCCCAGGTCCCACGGCAGGACCAGGCGCCCCCTCCAGCCAGGCTTCCCGCCCGTGGCCACCGCTCCGTGGCCTCCATGCCCAGCGCTGCCGCCTGAAGCCAGGCCCCGGTTACCGGGCAGGTCCCTGCCCTCCCCGGCCTGACGCAGGCTCCCGGGTGTCGGATCCACCCTCAGCTTGGAGAGAGCATCCAGGCAGGAGGGAAGCTCGAAAACGGAAACGCAGGAACGCGGCTCCTGCCTCGCCCCCTCCGAGACGCCCCACGCGTTTGCGGAGCCTGCCCCTCCGGTGGGTTTCTCGTGGCAGGAACAGAAAACTCAACCTGAGGGGAGTGTTCAGGAAACCTTTTTTATGTTTTTATTGATTTTTAGAGAGAGAGGCAGGGAGAGGGAGAGAGAGAGAAACATCAACGATGAGAGAGAATCGCGGATCGGCTGCCTCCTGCACGACCCACACTGGGGATGGAGCCCGCAACCGGGACATGTGCCTCTACAGGCTGGAAAGGGAGCTGACTTCACCCTGAGTGTCACTGTAATGCATTTTCAATGAAATGCCTCCATAAACAATAAAATCCTGCTTTCATTCCCCCAGTTCCTCCCGAGGTGAACTGAAGTCGTACGCGATGATCGCCCTGCCCGAGCAACACTGAATCTTGTCCCTTCTCATCAACGCCGTTCTGCAGAGTCCCCCCACTTTTTATCGCCCCCCTCCCCCCCGGAAGGCAACTCTTGTCAAAGAGCCGCCTGCGCTGAGTCACGTGCGTCCCCGCTTAGTCTGTGATTACTAATGAAAAGGTACCGGGCGTGAGTCACCGGCCCTGGGCGGCAGTAAAGCGTGACTCAGCTCGCTTAGCAACGCCGCCAGCGCCCCCTCCCACAGCAGGCACCGGAAGCAGCGTCCCATGCACCCTATACCCAGAGCCCGCTGTGAGCGGATGGGCGGCTCGATTCACAAAATAGGAAGGAGATGGTGTGCCCTTTGAATCGACCAGGGTGTTGTTGGGGAAAAAATAGTACAGGGGTATAGAACAAGTCTGGGGAAACGAGCTTAGTGGTTCCAGAGGGGAAATACGAAGGTTTAATGATTTTCTAAACAACACGGTAGCCCAGCCCGTGTGGCTCAGTGGTTGAGCGTCGTCCCATGCACCAGGAGGTCACAGTCCGATTGTGGGTCAGGGCACAGGCCCGGGTTGGGGGCTCCATTCCCAGTAGGGGGCGTGCAGGAGGCAGCCGATCAATGTTTCCCTCTCACATCAATGCTTCTCTCTCTCTCCATTCCTCTCTCTAGGATCAATACATAAATCCTTGGGTAAGGATTTATTTAAAAAAATTTTTTTAAAAGAGGGAGAGCCTCGTCATGACTAAGAAGTTCCAGCGAAGAAGAAGCAAGTTCTCGCTCACACTGAATTCACACATCTCTTCCCAAAGCGGGGAGTGTCCCCGGCCTCCGGATCTGTATGCCAGGCCTCACCCCGGAGAAGGGGAGGGGACCCCAAGGCGTCACGTGACGAGGAGCCGAGGGGAGAGGAACAAGGGAGCCTTTGTCCAAGACCGAGAGGTGGCCCGAGTTTTGACTAAGTCTCTTCCCTCGCGTCGGGGCCGAGCACCCCAGGCCGCAGCAGCGCGTGCGGAGGGGTCGCCGTCACCGTCACCATCACTGACTGGAGCCCTGGGCTGTCCCTGAGCCGGAGAGGCCAGGAGTCCATGCCTACTAGGCAGGGTTTGGTGCCTGAGAACCGGCGTTCTGCTCCCAGGAGGCCTCTGGGGGTATCAGCTGCTTCTCTGCATGAAGCACACTACTGGGCACCCCAGTGTGAGAAACGTGGACCATGAACCAGGAGGTCCGGGCTAGACCCCCCGTGTGGGGCGCGCAGGAGGCAGCCAGTCCATGATTCTCTCTCATCATTGATGTTTCTCTCTCTCTCTCTCCCTCTCCCTCTCCCTTCCTCTCTGAAATCAATAAAAATATATTTTAAAAAAGAAAAGTACAGTTTCTGCTGCACGACCGAAAGCACCCCCAAAAAGGGGGGATCGTCACCCTAGAAGCACCATGCACGACACACCCAGCGTGGAGGGGTTGGTACCGACACAGTCCTGCCCCCCGTGGGGAGGAGGCAGCGCTGGTGGCTGGTGTGGGGCCAGGCAGGTGCAGGCTCCAGGACTGCATTCCCACTCGCTGCCCTTTGACCTCACAGCCTCCTCTCTCCTGAGCCTGCTCCGGAAGTTTTGCAGAAGGGGGAGGTCGGCTTTGCTCTTGGTGAGGGGCTTTGGAGCGAGTCAGGTAACCTGGGTTATCCTTACTTTCAGGTCTGCTACCCATGGAAGGCATTCCACAAATACCTGCTCAAGGAAGGGAGGAGGGAGGGAGGGAGGGAGGGAGGGAGGGAGGTGGGGGAGAGGGAGGTGGGGGAGAGGGAGGAAAGGAG